TCTGAGCGGTTGCAGCTGAAGATCAAACTAGAGCCAGAAGTAGTGCGCACTGGATTCAATACTGGGTATTAGCACTGGAATACTTGGCTCAGCTACTGGTATCTACTAAGGCCCCGTTGACAACAGGGTGTATCGTGAATAGGCCAAACGTGCGTGCTTCGTTGCACGGTCACAATACGTGCACAAACGCAGATCGTGCTTGCATTTCCATTGGGCGCGCATCACGGGAATGTGCATCCGCACAGGTTTGCGGGACTTTGTTTTCTGGATCTGAGGCATGTCCCCATTGGGTCCCAGGATGGGTGCCAACCGCAGAAAAGAAGTGCATATCGCAAACTTTGCAGCATGGGTTTCAAGTTTTTTTCCCATGTGGGGAAAAACCGTGTTTGCTTGGCTGAGTTTAGGATGCCATTACCTGGTACTAGCGTGTTCCGCGTTTGTGCATGTATCATGAACGCGCATTTTTGTGCACGTTTGACACGCGTTCACGTTATGCCCTGGTGTGAATAGGACTTTACTTGGTAATGGCACCCCAAATACAGCCGAGCATTTGCTGAAAAAAAAACATGGAAGGCATGTCACCTTATTTACGACATGTATTTCTTTTCCATGAACCCAATGGGGATTAATGGGCACACGCGCCAAACGTGGGAAACAAAGTCCCGCATACCCTGGTGTGAACAGGGCCTAACAGTGGGGATGTCCAGTGCTAATGCATTTAGTGCCAGAGTACTGGAATCTCACTGCACTTTAATAAAAAATGTTCCATGTAGTCTATAAAAGGTGCTAGAAGGCACACATGCCGTCAGTCCCTACAGGATTTACTAACATGACCTCTGTGGAATTGCATTTTCATTCCAACTGGATTTATGTAGAGAAGCTTTAGGCAATCAAGCGCTGGGACTATATTATTTAAAGGAACACTACACTTTTTTTTACAGCAGGAGCTTCTGTAAAGCTGAAAGCTGCCGAAGGATTAGTGAATTGGTTCAGCCAGTGCAAAAATGTACATCATTCTTCCAGGCAGCACAGTCAGGTTAGTGACCTGACTTTTCTATTCTGCAGGTAAGAAGCACAGCTTGGTCACTCGCTGCCCCGACTACCTGGGCGATGAAGGGGCAACAACACCTCTCTTTCAGTTTTCATTATACTGTACAGGGGACGGCTACAGGCTGATATGAAACAAATATAGGAACTTCCTTTGAAAACCAAATTTGATGACAGTTCACTTTGAATCTGTTAACCATCTTCTTATATCTCTAGATAACATCAACGGTTAGAGTTGTTCACATGAGCTACCTAAGCAGCTTTTAGTCTCCTTGCTGGATTTTTATATTTCTTTATTTTTTTTCTACTTCAATTTGTCATATATAAATATTAATCATTTTTATATTTCTTCAAATTGCATGGATTTCAGCAGACAGAGTGAGATCTTCGCTTGGTCAGCAGGAGGTGAGAGACCCCGCAGTTTTGGGGTGTAAAGTTGGGGCTCTGTACCCCAGATATACAGTGGTACCTCGGTTCACGAACTTAATTCGTTCTGCGATTCTGGTCACAAACCGATTTGCTTGTGAACCGAATCAAACTGTGATCTCGACTAGAGGAAGCCATGACCATGTGTCAGAGCAGGGAAAATGGCTGCAGTTGTGTTCGTCAATCGAAGCGGAGTTTGCGAACAGAGGCAAAATGTTGCCGAACGTCCTGTTCGCGAACCGAATTGTCCGCGAACAGAAGCGTTCGTGAAACGAGGTACCACTGTATAAGGAACCAGCAGATGATTGGGTACACTACCATCTATATCTAAATTGTTATTGTTGTCTGTGTCTACAATGGGGACAGTCACTGTTCCTATTTGTCCTGGTGACCAATGTCAGTGGGACAGAAACTGATGGGAAATGTAAAATTTGGAGATTGTCAGCTGAACAGAAGGGGATGAGAGGAAATGTTCAACCCTTTGCCAGCACTGTATCACTTAAAGACCTGTGTAAGGCCTAGTTCACATCTGAGCGTTTTTACGCGCGGATCTAGTTGCGGGAAAACATGCAAAACACACATTTCCATTCAAGTCAAAGGCGACTGTTCACACCTTAGTGGTGCGTCGAATGTACGAAAACACCTGTCACGCCAAAAGATGCAGAAGCTATTTTCAGACGGATGCTGCCAGGTTTTGGTCCCATAGATATCCTTATGCAAGGAGAACCACGCGTTTTAAAAAAACGCACAAAACTGCTCTCTGCCGTGACAGGGGGAGGGGCTGGATTCCCCCCTCCCCGCTCCGATCTGCCAGTGCTGACTGGCGGAACGGACGAGGGAGGGGGCGGGTACAGCTGGCTCTGCCTCTAGATAGGCAGAGCCAGCTGTCACTCACGCAGCTGGGCGGATCTCGACGTCCATGTCGGGATCCGCTCCGGCTGCGGCGTCTCAGTATACCGCGAGCTACTGAGCTTAGGGTAACGGCAGGATGCTAGTTTGTGTCCTCCCGTTACCCTAAGGAGAACTATGGGGAAAAACACTGACCCCATAGTTCTCCTTTAAGTGACTGTCAGCTTTACACTGGAAGAGATTGTAATGGCAGAGCTGCCGCCAGATTGCTTCCATGGGCCGGTGAACAGGGTCCCTCATCCCCTGCCTTGCCTGCTGCCCCTCCTGTGGGCCCGGACCGGCATCTTGGGTGTTGGCAGGAAGCGGGGAGAGAGAGGAAGCGGGGAGAGAGACCTGGCAACATCTGTTTTCTAAACTGATGACCTGTACGGGCTTTTAAAATAATCCCTATGGACAATTTGGGGTCCTGTATTTTGCCGCCGTTTCACGGGCCCATTCAATTTTAAAGCTTAGCATGTTGGGTATCTATTTACTCAGCGCAGCCTCATCTTTTATATTTTACACAAAAATTAGTATCTTTTACTGAAATTTTGGGCTTGATAAACAGTTGCACTAATATCATGCAATGTAAAAAAGTGCAACTGACGCCATTTCATTTCATCAAGGGTCTGTGTTTTAAGGAAAAAAACTCACGGGGCTTTTGAGTAATTTTCCGGCCTAAAATGTGGATTATAACATGTGTGAAAAGAAATGCTCTGGCAGTGAAATGGTTAATGGGAACACTAGTTTGGTGACAGCTATCTAAGAGGGAACTTTTCCTCACATTAGAGAGCTATCTTCACACTTCCTGTTCTGTCTTTGGGACAGGAAGTGAACGGGAAGCTCCCTAATGAGACACACACCAAGAAAAAAGCCAGACATGTTTTAACCTTTTTTGTTCAGTTAATCTTTAAAAATGAAAGAGAGAAGCTGATTGGTTACTATGGACAACTGCTCCTTTTTCTTCCTGTCATTTTTAAGGATTCCATCTGTACAAAGGTACATTTTGGGCTGGCCACCCTGGCTAGTTGGCATGTCAGTTTTAGGGCTATGTTAGACAAGCGCTCGTGTTGCTGGTGACAATGCACCATTGACAGATCTTTAGCAGACCGCTTCCTTTTTTCTATGGAACAGTTGCCTTGTTGGCCAGACCAGGCCAGCAAGACGTCGCTCCCCCGCTATTGAATGAGATCCTGCAGAATTCAGAACCAGAGAAGGAACTACTTCATTAGGGTAAGTGCTTCCCTTGCCACTGGTGAAGAGTCACCCTGACATGTGTGGCATAAGACCCTTGACCTACGTTGGCCATGCACTGGTAGATTTGCATATGAAAAATCTTGTCAGCATATTGGATAATCCCATCAGAGACTTGAGGAATGTGGTTTGAAACTTAATTTGAATTTGACATTCGATTTTGCAATGTATGAAGTATCCCAAACAGAAACCACAGCCGCTGCTTTTGTCACTATAGTCAAAACTGATCATCATCATTGACTCTAATAACTATAAGAAAATCAAACATGTGTGTAAAGAAATGCTCCGAAAAAAGAAAAATTCTTACCATGTACAACCAGTAATGTGTGTGGTGAGCCCACATTTATAACACTATTCCATCTGTACCACTCTTCAACACCCTCTTGTAAGCAACACATAATTCATATAATACATTCAATTGAGAACATTGTCTAACCACCAGAATGATCAAATAAACAGTGGTTGGAATTTATGAAAGCTGGAGCAGACAGAATCTGGAACAGTTGCTCATAGTACCCAATCTGCATCATTCTTCATTTTGTTCAGTTAAAATTTGAAAATGAAAGCGGAAAGCTGTTTGGTTACTTTGGGCAACTGCTCCAGCTTCTAGGGCAATCCATAAAAACTGGAGCAAACACAATCAGAAGCAGTTGCCTGTGGCAACCAATCAGCTTCTCTCTTTAGTTCGTTCAGTTAAGCTGATTACAGTGGCGTTCAAGGGGGGTGCGAGAGGTGCGGCCCGCAACAGGGTGTCACCATTGCACTGGTGACGCCAAAATGACTGACAGTCATCTTGGTATCACCCCCCTGTAAAAAGTCGGGCACTCGGTCATGGACCGGGAGCCCATCAGTTGTGCATGGCAACCAATCTGCTTCCCTCTTCAGTTTGTTCAGTTAAGCTTTGAAACATAGAAGCTGATTGGTTGCATTTGGCAACTGCTCCAGTTTTTATCAATCTCCCTCTGTCTGCTCCAGTTTTTATCAATCCCCCTCTGTCTGCTCCAGTTTTTAATAACAATGTGGGTAAAAAGTGGGTAATAAAAGGCATTATAACTTCAGGGTGTGATCTACTTGACTACAATATCCTATCAAATGTATCACCTTTATCTTAATCACGTTTATCATTTTAATTACGAGTATTAGTAATTGCAATAATAATAATAATACATTTGCACAACAGTTTATATAATGACAGTCATCAGGTGTTCTATAATGTGCCATGATATATGTATTATAAATAAGTATATATGTATTATAAATAAACAAGTTAGACAAAGCTGCAAATACTAAACATGTCCTATAAAGTGATATTATATAAGATCTACGTGATGACAGTTGGAGTACATGAGAAGAGACGGAGAGCAGCTATTCATGTCAGTCATTACCTGTGACAGTGATGAGATGAGTGGAGGTGGTCGGCCAGCTGAGCTGTCATTTACAAGACTTTAGCCCCGCCCCCTTAAGGGCAGCGTATTTATTTGTACTTATTTGTCTGCGATCTGGGACAAGCATGCCATAGACAGCAGGCGGCCAGGGAGCTGGAAAGTCAAGTTTGCCCAGAAAACTTTTGCCAGCGTCTCCGCAGACACAGCTGACAAGTGCAGAACCGGCTACCAGCTGGTCCTTTCCTCCAGCACGAGTTAAGGAAAAGTTGTATGTAAGCACAGAAGCAATGACAAGTCCCACCCAGTCCCTACACTCTGACAATGACCCCCCATAGTGATCAGCCCCTTGGTACTCACCGGGCTCAGTGTTTAGAGCGGGCTGCCAGGGCCCTAGGAAGGAGTTAACAGCTGTCATAGGGCCGTCCCGTAGTCAGGAGGCGGAGAGCTGCTTCAACAAGTGATGGCTGACAACTCCCACACTGGGAGGGTGGACTCAATGGGCTGATGCTGTGCATGTGGACGTGTAGCTGTTACAACACACAACAGGGACTCTGTGTGCTGCAACTACATATACAGCAGAGGCATGACTTAAGAACTGGACAAACTGCCATTGACAGCTGCACTGTCCTATACCCAGCACATCAAAAACATTCAGCACCAACTATGTAATCAATTCCGCGATCGAATGTTAAGGAAAGAGTTTAATCTTTAGCTGCAGCTTTAAAGTGACACTAAACCCAGGAGGTAAATCTTAAAAATACATTCAAGTACCCTAACTAATAACAAAAATGTATCTTATTTGTGTATCACCATATCAGGACCAGAAAATTTTTTGTCCGCACCTGAAATGCATCTCAATGTATTTCTATGGAATCCCTGGGCTCTGTTCACACCAGTGCAGTCCGCAGGGGGGGAAAAATGCTGCATGCACTATTTGTTCTGGTCTGGAACTCACCAAAACGCATGTACACACATCAGAAACGCATGCAAACGCACTCGACTGCACCGGAATGCCCATTTTAAGCTTAAAAAAAGCATCAGAATAGGGTCAAAAACACACTGCACTGCGTTTGAAGATCTGATCCAGATCTTCAGACGCACAACAAGTAACAACGTCTAGCCGAAGGATCGGCCGAAGCTACGGCCAGATCCTTCGGCAGCTTTGTGAATAGACCCCTTAGTGTCACATTAAGTGGAAAGCCGGCCATACATCTGTAGGATTTCAGTGGCAAAATTGAATGTGACCTGTTTAAATCAATATTTTGTGTAAAAATCTTCCTTTTAGAAATAAAGATTTAAAGGATAATTCACAAAGCTGCAGAAGGATCCAGCCATAGTTTCGGCTGATTCTTCCGCTCGCTTCGGTTGTGGGAGCCCTTCGGTTATAGCTCGTACAGCTGCCAAAGGGGGCCGAGCCGAAGGCATATGCTTCGGCTTGACTGAGCCGAAGTGACAGTCGAAGCAGTGTGAACGGCTTGCCCAAGGACGGCCTTTTGCCCCGTAAATGACAGCTGGGCAGAGCCAGCCGGGATCTCACAGCTGGCTCCACCCAGTTATAATGACAGATCAGCGTCCCCAAATGACCTGGGGTTAGCTGAACTGTCATTAAACAATAACAACTGGGCAGAGCTGGCCATGACGTCACGGTCGGCTCCTCCCAGTTGTTATTCATTGGCCGAGACCTCTCTGGCCAATAGGAAACAGTTGGGCAGAGCTAGCTCCTCTCATTTGGATTTTTTATTATTATTATTTATTTATTTTCTGTTTTTTTAAATCTTTATTTTTAAATTTTACTATTTATTTCCATTTTTTCCCAACTATTTTCATTGATTTTCTATTCTGCTTGGTACCACGGAAGTACCAAGCTGAATGCCGCTCGCGGCATTCGGCTATTCACTCACTGCTGTTCGGCCGATATGTGAATAGGGGCTAACGGCAGCGAGTGAGCTGCCAGAGCTTTGGCTCAGCAGATCCAGATGTTGGATCGGCTGAGTCAAAGTCCTCCAGCACTTCAAAGTGTAGCCAAAGGCAGCCGGAGTGAATAGCCGAACGTAGTTCGGCTCTGTTTACTTCGGCTCCGGTTTTTACTCCACTTCGGCTCCTCCCAGTTGTTATTCATTGGCCGAGACCTCTCTGGCCAATAGGAAACAGTTGGGCAGAGCTAGCTCCTCTCATTTGGATTTTTTATTATTATTATTTATTTATTTTCTGTTTTTTTAAATCTTTATTTTTAAATTTTACTATTTATTTCCATTTTTTCCCAACTATTTTCATTGATTTTCTATTCTGCTTGGTACCACGGAAGTACCAAGCTGAATGCCGCTCGCGGCATTCGGCTATTCACTCACTGCTGTTCGGCCGATATGTGAATAGGGGCTAACGGCAGCGAGTGAGCTGCCAGAGCTTTGGCTCAGCAGATCCAGATGTTGGATCGGCTGAGTCAAAGTCCTCCAGCACTTCAAAGTGTAGCCAAAGGCAGCCGGAGTGAATAGCCGAACGTAGTTCGGCTCTGTTTACTTCGGCTCGGTTATTCACTCGAATTTGTGAATAACCCCTGTAATCTTGAATTCTCCCATGGTTCTGTGTTCTCAGGACGTTCTAGGTAGGGAAGCACTAATATTATTTTTTTCAGATGTAGTACAAGTACCGATACCTTTCCTCAAGTACTCACCGATACCAATTACCAATACCTTTTTAAGGTCATGTGACAGATTTTCTAAAACACTATACACTAATTGTTTTCTGAATAAGATACATTCGACCCCCATACACTTGCATTGAGTTCGAGTTCGTATTCAAACATTTCGGCTGTTCTAATGTTCAAATACAAACCGAACAGGGGGGTGTTCGGCTCATCCCTAGTGGTGAAGTGCCAAGGCCCCATCACAGCTGCAACTACTGTGACCCTGGTAGTTCTGACACTGACTCCAAACTGTAGAGGGACTACAAATCTTAGCAATATATTGTACAGCATTGCAGAATATCACCAGCTATAGAGGACTACAAATCCTAGCAATACATTATACAGAATGCAGAAAGGCACCGGCTTTAGAGGACTACATATCACAGCAAAACATTAAACAGCAATGCAGAATCACACCAGCAATAGATGACTACAAATCACAGCAATACATTATATAGTAATGCAGAATGCCATCAGTTAGAGAGGGCTACAAATCAGGTCTTACTAGAGCTGCGCACGGTCTCACCAGGGCTGCGCGCGGTCTCACCAGGGCTGCGCGCGATCTCACCAGGGCTGCGCGCGGTCTCATCAGGGCCGCGCGCGGTCTCATCAGGGCTGCGTGCACTCTCAACAGGGCTGCGTGCGTTCTCTCAACAGGGGTTGTGTGTGGTCATACCGGGGCTGTGCAGTCTTACTGGGGCTGTGCGGTCTCACCAGGGCTGCATGTAGTCTCACCATGGCTGTGTGTGGGTCTCCCAAGGGTAGTGTGCGCTCTCATCACGGCTGCGTACGGTCTCACCAGTGCTGTGTGCCATCTCACCAGGACTGAATTCAGGTCTTACCAGGGCTGCGTTCGGGTCTTACTAGGGCTGCATGCTGGTCTTACTAGGGCTGCGTGCCGGTCTTACCAGAGCTGCATTAGTGTCTCACAAGGGCTGAATGTGGGCCTTTCCAGGGCAGTACGGGCGTGTGAGGGCCTCTCCAGGGCTGTACAGGTGGGTGTGGGGCTCTCCATGGCTGTGCAGGCGGGTGTGGGGCTCGCTATGGCCGTACGGGCGGGTGTGGGACTCTCCAGGGCTATGCGGGGGGGGGGGGGGCTCTCCATGGCTGTATGGGCAGGTGTGGGGCTCTGCAGGGCTGTGTGGGGCTCTCCATGGCTGTACGGTTCTTTTTGGTCTCTCTTTAAAGCTCACCATACACCTATACAATTGCAGTCAAAAATTTGTATTTTGTTTTTAAATTTGTGACCTATTTATGTAATTATTTTGTATAAAAACCTTCCTTTTAATAATAAAGATATTTGCCTACGTTTGTAGGCAAATTAGCTATAATTAGCTATAATTTCGCGCTGAAGTTGCTAGAGGGCCAAACCATTATAAATAGGGAAGCAGGTTGTTTAACACGACAGTAGAAGCGATTTTTTTCTGAAGATATGGGTAAACAACGCGATTTAACAGCCTTTGAACGTGGGATGATTGTTGGCGCTCGGAGCCATGGAGCGAGTATCAGCAAAACAGCAGAAATCGTTAAATGTTCAAGAGCAGCTGTTGTTAAAGTGTTTAAAGACTGGACTGTCAGACGAAAATCTGGGTCTGAATGAGCAAATTGTGGCCGTCAGCGAGTAGTCAATGTTAGGTCAGAATGGAGAGTGGCAAGACTGGTACAAGACAACAGAGGGACAACAGTGCAGTGTCAGATTCCTCGCATCACCTTTCAACATCTCGTGGAGTCACGAAGCGGCCCAACGAAGTCATCTCGTGGAGTCCTCTCGTGGCCCAACGAAGTACTGATGGGATAGTCATAATAATCTGGCCACTCAGTGTATACTGTAGTTGAGTTTTCCTTGGGTTCGGTGTTCTCAGGACATTCTAGGCTTTCTCATAAGACAGTCCAGTAGTAGCTTGCCCACTTTTGTGCTCGCTTTCTCTTCATTACACACCAGTACAATTTTGTTCAAAAGATTACATTTTTTATTTGACCTATTTCATTATCTTCTATAAAAACCTTCCTTTAAGAAATAAAGATTTACAGTAGTGTTGTCCTGGGGTTCTGTGTTCGCAGAACATTCTAGGCTTTTGTACTCGCGCTCTCTAAATCTGACAATACACCAGTAGATTTGTTCAAAGGATTTTGTTTTTTATGTGACCTTTTTCATTACTTTGTATAAAAACCTTTCTTTTATAAACAAACATTAAGGGGTTCATTTATAAAACTTCCACCCAGTGTATCTGGGGGGATATTTTCTGCACGGCACTAGCACCCCTAGAAATTCCTATACTTGTCGGAGCCATGGGCGCTAGTGCCATGCCAAGGGCATCCGTTCAGCTATACGCTGGGTGGAAGTTTTATAAATAAACCGGTTGATGTGTTCTCCCGGGGTTCTGTGTGCTCA